CCTTTCGAGGCACTCTATGGTAAATCATGTCGTATTCCTTTATGTTGGTCAGAAGTTGGTTAGAGGGTGTTAGTGGGTCTAGAGATTGTTGATGAGACTATCCAGAATATTCAAGTAATCAAAGCTAACATGAAAGCAGCCTAGGATCGACAAAAAAGCCTTGCTGACAAGCACACCACTGATAAGGTGTATAAAGTTAGAGATTGGGTATTTTTGAAGTTATCTCCGTGGTAGGGTGTAGTATGGTTTGGTAAGAAAGGTAAGTTAAGTCTTCAGAATATGGAGCTATATCACCCTGGTAATGATATGCTCTACCATAACCCGTCTGAGTATAACCACTAGATCCTGGAACCTGCTAAATAGAGACTGGTGGTGGCAAGGCAAATGGTTGAGGTTTTTGCTGGTACTATGGGCACTCGATAGCCCGATGTCCCATCTTACCACAAACAAAACATCCACCTCTGCTGCCCTGTCTACACTCTCCAAAATGTCAACTATTACATCTACGGTAGAATGAACCACCAAAACCACCGAAATCTCTTTGTCTCCAAAAGCAGGAACCTCTAGAACAGCCGCCCCTCCATGGCATCGTGGAACTCGAACCCCCACTAGAAGAACTAGAACTGGTACCACTCCTCTTAAAACTCAGCGTCTTGCGAGGTCCTTGAGATGACTGACCTTTATCTTTATTACTATTTTTCTTCTGACTATTATCTTTTTCTTCCTCTTCTTCATTGTCACTGAGCATATTTTCATAATCCTCAACCCAAAGTAAAATCTCATAAAACTCCTGATATGTAGAGTAGGGAGTCATGGTTGCCATAGAACACCACTTCTTTCGAGTACCCCACTTGAATCGTCGAAGCATCTCAGTAGGATTCTCAGCAATCTCCGAACAATACTGAGATAAATCAGTGAACTTGATATAGTACTCATTAGATGACATTTTCCCTTGCTCTAATTGTGTGAATTCATGCCTCCTACGATCCAAATACTCTGGGGGTACAAATCTATTCTGGAATAATCGCTTAAAAACCTCCCAATCTGCAGCTTCTTCTGGTGGCAACTAAAAACATTCTTGCCTCCACCAGGATGCAACCTCCTTACCCAAAAACCAAGTGGTCGTCTCGACCCATCTATCCTCGGGGAAATTCCCCTGTCGCTGCATCACTTGATAAGTTTTCACAACATGGTTAAGCCACTGCTCGGCTCCCTCGGGCCCCTCATTATCCACAAAATTGTTCAACTTTAAATTATAAACTATTTCCGGAGAAGTCCTCTGGGGAGGGCGCAATGAAGACTGAATGGCATTAGCAATGACCTCACCAACTTGGACAATATCATGAAAGTTAGATTTAGAGGAAGTACGTGGCTCGCTTCGAGGAGGCATGGTTTTGACAAAAGACATCAAAATGATTAGAATACTCACAAAAATACGCAAGACTGCCAAACCTAGGCTCTGATACCAAACTAACACACCCCGACCTAAATTGAGGCATGCTAGCCGTCACGTGAAGGTGACGTAGTCATGAGCACATTGGGGAAGTGATAATGATACGGAAATGTGAGTAATTAAAAACCAAAACTAACTAATTTACACTAGGTAAGTATAGAAGTGCGAGTGAAGATGTTTAAAGCACAGATACCCATCCTCAGAGTATAGATAACCTAAGTGCAGTCCAACAGGCTAAATACTAATTATACATGATATGAACGAAAACCATACATTACTTAGAGTCTATTAGAACCGTTGTAGAGTCCTCGTGAGCCACCAACAAAAACATCTAATTAGAACCTGGAGAGGTGCAAAACAGAAAACGTGAATGGGCAAAAACAAGGCTTTAAAAAACTTTTTCACTTTTCAAAAGTAATAACCCCTCACCGTAAAACCCGTATAATTTTCCAGAAAATAGTACTACATATGTACAAAGAAATCAGGTTTGAGAGCAACGAAAACCAGGTATATGCCATGTCACTATCTCAGCAGTAAAATATGTAAGCTAGGTGATATAAATCAATGCAAAAGTGACTGTAGACATCGAAATTTCAGTAAAAAAAAAAAAACAAATGTTCACCAATGCATTAAAGTTTTGACGTGTCAAGGCATACATGGCATGCGCCACGTGTTGTACAAATTGTACACATGGCGTGTGACTCAACAAAATAGGAAGAAATACCCTTGAAGGATTAAACAAGTTTTTCTTCTCATTTTGGGCAATGACAAGGCAAGTACATTTCAATCCATTGAGGATCAAAACAAGTTTTTCTTCTCATGTTGGGCAATGACAAGGCAAGCAAACTTCAATCCATTACGGATCAAAGCAAGTTTTTCTCATTTGGGCAATGACAAAGCATACACATTTCAAGTTTAAAATGGTGTTAAGTGGGAAATTAGGCCATAAGTTACACCACTTCAAGTTTAAAATGGTATTAAGTGGGAAATTAGGCCATAAGTTACACCACTTCAATTTCAATATTGCATTAAGTGGGAAAATTAGGTAATGGTGCTTGGAAAGGAAAAAAATATTTTGTGGTGGTGATTCATTCTCAAAGCCTATAAATAGGCTTCTCCATCAAGGTATCAAGCATCAACCAATTCACAAATACATTTCTCCACACACCAAAACCTTGAAGCCTTAGAGTTCTAAAGCTCTCTAGAAAATCCCGAAGGATCAAGAAAGCACTCTTCGTTCTTCGTCAAATCCTCCCTCAAGATCAAGCCCCAACGGCCCTTGAAGAACTTCCACCATTACTCAAGATCAAGCCCCGACGGCCCTTGAAGAAAGTGTTCATCCGTTCATCTCAAGATCAAGCCCCAACGGCCCTTGAAGAACTTCCACCAACTCAAGATCAAGCCTCGACGGCCCTTGAAGAAAGTGTTCATCCGTTCATCCCAAGATCAAGCCCCAACGGCCCTTGAAGAACTTCCACCAACTCAAGATCAAGCCCCGACGGCCCTTGAATCAAGATCAAGCCCCGACGGCCCTTGAAGAAAGTGTTCATCCGTTCATCCCAAGATCAAGCCCCAACGGCCCTTGAAGAACTTCCACCAACTCAAGATCAAGCCCCGACGGCCCTTGAAGAAAGTGTTCATCCGTTCATCCTAAGCTCAAGCCCCAACGGCCCTTTGGATCAACAACCTCAACAAATCCACACATCCAATCGTTCTTCAAGATTAAGCCCAAAAGCCCTTGAAGATCCACTCATCCATCAACCTTCAAGATCAAGCCCAAAAGCCCTTGAAGAAATCCACACAACCATTATTCAAGATCAAGCCCCGACGGCCCTTGAAGAAAGTGTTCATCCGTTCATCACCCGTTCATCCTAAGATCAAGCCCCAACGGCCCCTTTGGATCAACAACCTCAACAAATCCACACATCCAATCGTTCTTCAAGATTAAGCCCAAAAGCCCTTGAAGATCCACTCATCCATCAACCTTCAAGATCAAGCCCAAAAGCCCTTGAAGAAATCCACACAACCATTATTCAAGATCAAGCCCCGACGGTCCTTGAAGAAAGTGTTCATCCGTTCATCAACTGTTCATCCTTAGATCAAGCCCCGACGGCTCTTTGGATCAACAACTCATCCACAAACATACACCCTACGAAGATAGAATCAGAGGACCAAATTTGAGAGAGATCGTAACCCCAAAATCATCAAACAAAATATTATTTTGTACACGTTATTCTTGTTTCTTGTTTCAAGGAACTTTCGTGTTCACAGTGACATGTCAGCCGGAGTCACCTAATATGACCTGTACGGCTTGCTCATCAATCCAGCCGGAGTCACCTAATGTAAGTTGTACAGTATTAAACCTGCACACAAGTCGAAACCACCTAATGTGGTCTGTACGACAGGCTGAGTGTAAATAAATATGCTCAAGTGCTACATTCACGTGAAGGATGTGCGACGAATCGCAAGTCACTTACGAGTCAGAACCACCTAATGTGGTCTGTACAATAGATTGGCACCTAATTTGGATCCAAGCCGAGCGTGCGGTGTGGAAGGTGAACGATCATGTGAAGGCTAGGCCTTCGCCATAGGCGGAGCACTAACACCGGAGTGCAGGACAATGAGCTCTACGTGCATCAACTCATAATCAACTACCATGCAACCATACCGTCAATATATACTCACCTGAACTTACTTGGGCTTCCGCAGCATCATGCAATATTATGCAAAGCTATACTAATACTTATGCTAAAATGTAAAGCAAACATGACATGGCATTTTAAACGAAATTCCATTTAAAACAGTTTCTGGGAAACGCATATGTATGTCGTCACATAAATGCATGCTAAAATGTACCTATAACGATGTTTAATTGTCAGAAAATAAAAATATTTTCAAGTTGTTAAAAAAGAAAAGAAAAAAAACATGTAGACGAGTGAAAAAGGGGTAAATGGGTAAAAAAAAAGGATAAATGAGTTCAAAAATGGCTAAACGGGTAAATGGTTATGGTTAAATGGGTACACGGTTATGAGTATGGTTAACCGTTTATGCAATTACCCAACGGTTATGCGAGTATGAACATAAACGATTATGGGTAAATAACCGCGGTTACCCGCCCGTCATAACCGTTGCCCATCCCTAAACCAATGTTAAATAGTAAATTTTTTGTAAGAGAATGTACGCAATATTTTGTAGTACATTATTCCGCGAGGTTCTGGGTTTTAAGGCTGGTATTGATGAAATGATTGTGAAGATTATGATGATAAGGATATTTAAGAGTTTAATCTATTTTTAATATTTAAATCACAAATTATGAGTTTTTAATTCCATAAATATAGGTAACTGCAATTTCAAAATTTTAAATTAAAAAAATAACATACATTAATACTAACTTGCTGAGGTGTACATAATTCAAGGACTTTAATCAAACAGTGAAAACCAATAAGGTTTAAATTAAAGAAGTAAGGACCTCATCCAAAAAGTCTCCTTTTGCATCGGAAGTCTTATGATTCTCAAACATCCATTCATTTGTATTAAACAAAGCAATCTGACCTCTAGTTATGTGATTTCCTTATTTTTAGAAAGTGGTCGACTATACAAATCGTTCCACCAAGCTGCTGGACCAGAGAAATACTGATGCAGCTCTCACTGCTTTAGGTCTAGTTTCTGAGGCCTTGTCAGTTAGCTCTTACTCAGAAACATTACTTGAAATGAAGGCAGAGGCTCTGTGTTTGGTATGTGCTTAGTGCCATATTAACTGCACGTATATATTTTAGTTTCTTTTGCTAAATCAGTGAGAGTGGTGGTGGTTGGTGCTTGTGTACATTATGTATTTGTCCCCTTACGTTACCACCATGTTGGTGTACTTCCCCCCTACACTGGTGGTTTCCATCTCTCCAAACCCCAAGTTTTGGTCTCAGTATTGTCTATATTTTGTGGTATTTTGCAGTTGCAGAGGTATGAAGAGGCAATTCGTCTGTGTGAACAGAGTATGGCATTTGCTGATAGTAATTTTTCCGGATATGAAATTTATCAAGTTAAGTTGTGGAGGTGGTTCTTCATATCCAAGTCCTACTTTCACTAGGGAAGGCTTGAGGCAGCTCTTGATTTACTCGATAAACTCGAGAAAGTGGGACAAAAGAGATGTAATACACGAGTTTTCCATGCAGCTTAACTTTTGTAATTTCTAGATTAATCAGGGAAGTCCTTTTACTAAAATTTAACTTACTGAATGTAATTTTAATTGTGTAGGTTCAAGTAAGAAACTGGAATCATCTATTGAAGGAAAGAATCACAACTGATCACAACTGATTTGGTGACATCCTGTAATTGCTGTCATTAAGTCAATTTACCTAGAATAGGTCCTAGAATAGTGGATCGTATCATATGTAAATTGTATATATACTGCAAGTTTTTACACAATGAAATATACAGATATTATTCTCATTATAAAATTCTTCATGGTATCAGAGCATTTGCTCTTGAGGACCTAGAAGTTCATACAAACGAATACCTCATGGCTGGTGACGAAGAGCAGAGACTCATTGAACCCAGAAAGGGCTCGAACTCTTCCAAGACCTCAGAATCATGGGAGAATTCCAATCATCCTCTTTTCCTCCATCACTCGGACCAACCAGGTGCTGTCCTTGTTTCACAACCACTGATGGAAGACAATTATACGACATGGGTGCAGTCAATGAACACGGCACTCACTATCAAGAACAAGAAGGGTTTTATTGATGGAACCTTATAAAGGCCGACTCACAATTCTGATGAACAACTGCAATGGGACCGATGCAACGTTCTTGTCAAAACCTGGTTGCTAGGAGCCATGTCAAAAGACATCTCGAGCAGTGTCATTCATTGCACGGATGCTAGAGATATGTGGTTAGAATTACAAGAGAGATTCTCCCACACAAATACAGTTTTGTTGTTCCATATAGAGAACGGCATACATGAATGTGAGCAGGGCACAAACTCAGTCACTTCCTTCTTCACAAAACTCAAAAGTCTATGGGATGAAAAGGATGCTCTCTGTGGTTTTCCTACTTGTACCTGTGAAGCAGCAGCTGAAGTTAAGAAGTTCATGGAGACGCAAAAGACCATGAAATTTCTTATAGGACTTAATGAGAATTTTGCACAGACCCGCAGCAACATCATAGGGTTAGATCCACTTCCGAACTTGAACAAAGCTTATGCGATGGTACTACGTCAAGAGAAGCAGGCAGAGACTACTGCTGGCAAGTCCACGACACCACAAGAATCTTCTGCTTTTGTTGTAAAGAAAGCGAGTCGTGATTTCAAGTCTATAGAAGGAGAAGCAAAATTCTGTGAAAAATGCAACATGACCAACCACAACACAAAGAACTGCAGAGCCCATCTCAAATGCACATATTGCAATGGGAAGGGACATACATATGACTACTATCGAAGGAGGAAGAATACTACCGAAAGTGGCCAAGCAAGATCAAAAGAAAATCATGTAGCCCCTCAAGATGATCAAAAGGAAGCTGTGAGTGACTTCCCTTTTTCACGGGAAGAGTGTCACCAACTTCTCAAGATGCTCAAAACGAAGGCTGTTTCAGCCAATTTGGTCGGTAACATTCCCAATTATGAAGAGCTTTCAGGTAAACTTTTCTCCCTTGCACAGAATAGTAAGGAGCCAATATGGATAATAGATAGTGGTGCCAGTGATCATATTGTTTGTAATCCCAGCTTGTTTACCTCATTCAAGGCAGTCTCTAATCGTTGGGTCAAACTTCCCGACAGTACCACAGCACATGTCACTCATGTTGGCACCGTAGCCTTCTCACCACATTTTGTTCTTCACAACGTTCTATGTGTACCCTTGTTTTACCTTAACTTAATCTCTGTGAGCAAACTAGCGTTCGACTCCTTCCAGATTACCATCTTTCTAAGACAAATTTGTGTCATACAGGACCTACAATCGGGGAAGATGATTGGGATGGGAACTGAGAGGGAGGGACTCTACCGACTCAACCTACCAAAGAAAGGAACATGCAATGTGGTGCACACCAACTCAGACAGTTTATGGCATGAACGACTTGGGCACCCTTCAAATAAAGCGTCTTCATTATTTTCATTTCTTGCAAATAAAGCTTGTGATTCAAGCTCTTGTTCTATTTGTCCTTTAGCCAAACTTACTAGACAACCATTTCCATTAAGTACTACTCGTAGTGCATCTTGTTTTGATTTAATTCACATTGATATTTGGGGAGGTTATCATGTTCCAACTTTTTCTGGTGCACAATATTTCCTAACAATTGTCGACGACCATTCACGAAGCACTTGGGTGTATTTGATGAAACACAAGTCTAAAGCACGCACTCTCCTCATCCATTTTATTCATTTGGCAGCAACTCAGTTTGGTAAACATGTTAAGGTCGTTAGGAGTGACAACGGTCCGGAGTTTAAGATACCCCAGTTTTATTCTTCTTACGGCATTATCCACCAAACTAGTTGCGTCAACACACCACAACAAAATGGTGTTGCTGAACGCAAACATCACCACTTGCTCAATATAGCCAGGGCCCTCCTTTTCCAAGCCAATTTGCCAAAACCATTTTGGGGAGATGCCATACTTACAGCGGCTTACTTGATTAATCGCACACCAACTCCAATTCTTCAGGGAAAAACACCTTTTGCAAAACTTTTCCATAAGGAACCCAGTTATTCTCATTTAAGAGTCTTTGGTTGTCAATGCTTTGTATCCACACATCCAACCCGTCTTAGTAAGTTTGACCCTCGATCAACGGAGTGCATTTTCCTTGGCTATCCACACGGTCAAAAGGGTTATAAAGTTTATAACTTGACAACTAAGAAATCCCTAGTTTCAAGGGATGTGGTTTTCTTTGAGAATGTTTTTCCTTTCCAAACAAATTCGGAGTCTCCTCCATCCTCCAATACTGATTTGTTTCCTTCTCTAACTCGTCTAGCCCATTATGATAATCCTTCAATATCACCACTTCCTTCTTCCAATCCCACACGTCACTCTCCACCTACAATCTCTCACAATCCCCCGTCTTCCGCTGACCATCATCATAATCACTCTCCTTTCACGTCTCTCTCATCTTCAGAACCTGTTTCCTCTAATATCAACCTTCCTAACTTGGACCCAATCTCATCTGATCAGATTCACTCACCTTTGCCTCCTGCCCAGTCTCCACCACAACCTCGCAAGTCTTCTCGCGCCACGAAGCTTCCTACCGCATTGCAGGACTTTCACATTGATGCGGCCCTCCCCTCACGTCTCGCCCCGTCATCTTCTTCGGCTGAGGTCACCACTCCTGGTACGGCTCATAGTCTCTCCCATGTTCTTTCTTATGCCAACCTTTCTTCTCCTCATCGCACCTTTACTACTAATATTACCCTGCAAAGAAAACCTACATCTTTTACTCAGGCAGTTAAAGACCCCCAGTGGCGAGAAGCGATGCGGCTCGAGGTTGAAGCACTGCAAGCTAACAAAACCTGGAGCTTAGTTCCACCACCGGCTCACAAACGACCAATCGGTTGTAAATGGGTGTACAAAATCAAGTACAACCCCGATGGAACCATTGAACGCTATAAGGCCCGGTTAGTGGCCAAGGGTTACAGCCAAGTGGAAGGCCTTGATTATAAGGAAACGTTCGCGCCAGTTGCTAAGCTCTCCACCGTTCCAGTGTTGCTCAGTATCGCAGCTCAACAAAACTGGCATCTACACCAACTAGATATGAATAATGCGTACCTGCATGGAGACCTCCATGAAGATGTATACATGCACCTTCCTCCTGGCTTCGAACGAAAGGGGGAGAATAAGGTCTGTCAGCTACACAAATCATTATACGGCTTGAAGCAAGCCTCCAGGCAATGGTTTGTGAAGCTCTCCTCAGCCCTCAAGTTAGCCGGTTTCAAACAATCATGGTCTGACTATTCCATGTTCGTCCGAAGCCATCAAGGTATCTTTACAGCTTTATTGGTTTATGTGGACGATGTAATTCTCGCAGGGAACAGTTTAGATGATATTATGAGGACCAAAAGCTTTCTATCAAGCCACTTCAAACTGAAGGATATGGGACAGTTGAAATATTTTCTTGGGTTGGAAGTAGCGAGGTCCAAGCATTGCATTGCATTAAGTCAAAGAAAGTATGCATTGGAAATACTTGAAGACACAGGATTCCTTGGTGCAAAACCTTCACGTTTTCCAGTTGATCAAAATATAACTCTGACACAAGGAGATGGAAGACTGTTAGAAGACGCATCTCAATATCGAAGACTTGTTGGACGCCTCATTTATCTGACAATCACAAGACCGAACCTCGTGTATGCAGTTCATATACTTAGTCAATTCATGGATAAACCAAGACAACCTCACTTAGATGCTGCTCATAAGGTGTTGAGATACCTCAAACAGACGCCAGGTCAAGGCATTTTCCTACCTTCAAAAGGGTCATTGGAATTAAGAGCATATTGTGATGCGGATTGGGCACACTGCAAGGACACTAGAAGGTCAATAACGGGTTATTGCATCTTCCTTGGACATGCTCCCATTTCATGGAAAACAAAGAAACAAAGTACGGTCTCACGTTCGAGTGCAGAAGCTGAGTATCGTTCTATGGCCACTGCTTGTTGTGAGATCACATGGCTGCAATATATTTTAAAAGACTTGAATATTCAACATTTGCAGCCAGTCAAGTTGTTCTGTGATAACAAGGCCGCAATACACATAGCATCTAATCCTGTGTTTCACGAAAGAACCAAGCATATAGAAATAGACTGCCACATTGTAAGAGAGAAAGTGCAAAAAGGATTGATTCAAATAGAACATATAAGAACCAAGGAACAACCAGCAGACATTTTTACGAAGCCCCTGAGTTCAAATCAGTTTTCAACATTGCTGGACAAGTTAGGAGTGATCAATATCCACTCTAACTTGAGGGGGAGTATTGAAGGAAAGAATCACAACTGATCACAACTGATTTGGTGACATCCTGTAATTGCTGTCATTAAGTCAATTTACCTAGAATAGGTCCTAGAATAGTGGATCGTATCATATGTAAATTGTATATATAATGCAAGTTTTTACACAATGAAATATACAGATATTATTCTCATTATAAAATTCTTCATCATCAGTACCATTATCTGTCACCATACGTGAACTTTTACGCCACAAGGTATGCAGTCTGTTGCTTTAATTTCTTCTCATTTGGATGGAGGATTGGCAGACACTGATAGATGCTATCTATGGTTATGTGCTTAACATATCATGTATAGCATGTGTTTTGTCAATTGTGAAGCACACAATTTTAACATATCTTGAATGCGTTTCCTTATTTATAATTTTTATAGTTGATTTTTTTAAGCACAAGGGTAATATTGGTAGTGAATATGTATAGCATGTGTAGTGTCAATTGTGAAAGATACAATTTTAGCATATTCTGAAAGGTGTTTTTTGGGGGGTATTAAAGAGAAGATTGGTAGCGTATACACATCCACATCAAACCTTCATTATGATAGTTTTCATTCTCAGTTGATGGTTTCAAATGATATTTTTATTAGTCCAACTTGATCAACAATGACAAGAGTTCCTCATTCTGGAAGATGAAAGTTATAAATATTAAGGTCACTTACCTGAAAGGACATGACAGAAATGAATATTTTCTGGCTATTCAAAATCCTCTAATTAAAGGGAAAATGAATATAGTAAAATTGGCTAGGTCTTTTTCGACTAATCAAACATTGCAGTTTGGAACTTCTCTGACCATGCATAGTGTAAGTATGTAACCTGAATCCAAATTAGGGAAGGAAAGAAATGCTTAAGCTATGTGCGGTCAGAGAGGTTCCAAAATGCAGTGGTTTAATAATTGGGGATGGTTCATCAAACTGGTTTACTCCTTTGTTTGGTTGAAGCTTTCTCTTGGTGCGTGTTGATTGAAGTTGATAGTCATTTTATTGTAATGATTGTTATTTACAACTTTGTTTTTCTTTTGCTTTTTCTGTTCATAACTGTTCTTGATCATTTGAGTAAGCTATCAGTCTGATGACCATTCTGATAATTTTGAGCATTTGAGGTAATTATGAAGGTTCCAAATGAATGCAATGAACTAATGTCACAGCTCTTATAAAAAATAGAATGCAGGCAATGAAGCATTTTGGTCAGGAAGCTATACAGAAGCAGTGGTGCATTATACTGTTGCTTTATCTAGCAATGTTGGATCTCGCCCCATTTTCAGCTATCTGTTTGTGCAACCGCAGTGCAGCACATCAAGCATTGGGTCAAATTACTGATGCCATTGCAGACTGCAGTCTTGCCATAGCTCCTGATGGCAATTATGTAAAGGTATGCCATGAAAGTTCATTTCAAAGTAAATACAGCATAAGCATGTGTGGGTAAACTAAGAATGAATCTGCCCTTTCCTCTTTGATGATAGGCTGTCTCCTCACAAAGACCCTTTCTTTTACCTGATTTCTAATTAGTAAATTTCAATATACCAATCCACTAAACTTTGACAAAAATCAGTAAAAATAATTTTATTGGAATTATATCAAAAAACAAATAAAAATAAAAATCATTATACTCATTTTCCGTTTTACTTTAAGATAAAAAAAGAAGAAAACTGCAGTTCTAATTTTGGCAAGAATAATATCTGATATTCCAATTAATTGTGCCAAATGTAATTTGTTCAAGCTACAATGTGTGCAACTAAGTCCTGAGCCCTACTAGTTAATTATGTGATATTCCAATTGATAGTGGTTTTCCTAATTTTGGCAAGAAATCAGTGTATTCTGTTAAGTGTTAGCTGTATTCATACGTGGTCATCCTGAGCACTACTAGTTATAGTTTACGAGAACCATCATGTGAGTATTAATAGTCTGAGCTTCTTAGCACTGAATTATACTTAACTTGAATTAGATCCTCAGTAGTTTTGTTTCTGATTTTCTTATAACAGGCAGTTTCTAGAAGAGCCACATTACATAAGATGATACGAGACTATGGAGAAGCGGCTAGTTATCTCCATAGACTTGTATCCATTCTGGAAAACCAATCTAATGACATGGCCAAAGAGTCTGGCTCACTAGGTAGATCCAGTGGCAGTGAAAAAGAATTACGTGATGCTCATCGACATACGCATCTGATGGAAGAAGCTAAAAAAGGAATCTCCTTGGATTTTTATCTCATTTTGTAAGTTCCTAGTATACTAATGCCTTCACAGCTTAGTAATTTATTACCTTGCACAT